ACTTCTGGGAAGGAACCCTTCAGAAAGACCTGCCGCAGAGGCAAAGCCACAGGTGTAAGGCTGCTCACTGTAGCTCTGTTCATAAAAGACGAAGATAAGACAACTCATATGCCTATTATTAAGGAAACAATTAAATAAGGTGGGACACATTCATGGAATGTATACCTTATAGTTCAAAGAAAAAGGTAAGTGTAAGAGTTGAAATGGGGAGGTGTCCACAACATAAAAAGTAAAAACAGCAAACCGCTGGACAATACATACTGTCATTCCATGTGTGTGTATAAAATATGCACATATACACATTTACGAGCATATCTATTGTGAAAATAAAGAGATTCCAGAAGGATATATGACAAAATGAACATAATCAGGGAGAAAGGGGCTTTCTTTTTTTTTCTTTTCTTTTTTACTTTGTATATTCCTGGTTTGTTAACCTTTTAAAATACATTATTTTGTGATTTTTTTTTTTGGTACCGGGGATTGAACTCAGGTCCTTGCGCTTGCAAGGCAGGCCACCGAACCGCTGAGCTAAATCCCCGGCCCCTATTTTGTGATTTAAAAATATAAAAACAAATAACATATACATATAATCATCCTAGTAAATAAGAGCTATCTTTATTCCTCTTTTGATGAATCAGGAAAAAACAATTATTAGGAAAGCAATTGCTTGGGGAAGTGAAGGCTTGGCTCCTTCTCGCCAGCGCCTCTAGACATTTCTCCCAGCCTTCACTGGCACATCAGGTTGTATTTTTACTCAGTGCTGATCAGTCAAAACCAACACTTAATTTTTGAAGAAGGATTCACATTTGTGGAAAAATAAAATAAGAACTGCAGAGCAAATCCAGATGGTTTATAAGTGAGCAAAGCCCAGTTCTACATTTATCTATGGCAGGATCCTTGGCCTTAGGTCTCACTGATGCAACTTTCCAACTCCAGCCATCTTGCCTTCATCCTCTCCGAATATACTGTTTATTTGTCATTTATCCTGCTCTTGCCTCTAAATGGTTTGAAGCAGTTCCCAAATGGATTTAAGGTAATAAACAATAATTAATCTGAGAATGGTAAAATCGTTTTCAGGAACTAAGGTACAGAAATGGTTGAGAAGAAGGATTAAGTAAAAATGCTATTTTAAATAGAAACTGTTATGGCTTGTATCTAGATGCTCCCCCCAAAACCTCATGCAGTCATAGCTGGGGCTTTTCAGAGCTGGCTAGATCTAGGGTGTGTGATGTTGGAGTTAAGTGTGTGGTGCTGGGGTTAAAGGTGTGATGCGGGGATTAAATGTGTGATGCTGGGACTAAGGGTGTGTGGTTTGGCACAGTTCTGGGAGTGGATGACATGAAGGACCACCCTGGGTGTGCGTGGAACCACCCAAAGGGTAGAGAGTTTAGAAAGGAGAAAAGGGAGCGGTGGGGCTGCTGCTGTCTCCTCCCTACTTCACTGCTTTGCTGCCTTCCTGCCTTCTGCCTGCCTTGAACTCTTTCTTCTCAGTGATGCCTCTCTGCCACGCTACCCTGCCTTGGAGCCAGGTGTCTATGGACTGAAACCTCCTCAAACTGTGAGTCAAATAAACCTTTCCTCCTTTAACTTTGGGTGTTGGATATTTTGTCTCAGTAATGAGAAAAGTATATTTAATTTTCAGCTGATATGCACAAGTGTGCCTCAAAGTATGTACTATAAAGCTAAGATTTATAATAATCAAGAAAATAACAATCCAGAAAGACAATGGCACATTGTCCACTTCTACTGATTCAGTGCATAAATCTAAATTCATTAAACTTCCTCATTCTCCATAGAGGTCCCTAATATTTTTTATACACCATTCTGGTGACCAAGTAAGTAAAATAATCCTCTGGACACATGCTTACTTGCTCTACTGACACAGGGGTTTTGATCATCTTCAAAAGCTAGCTTAAAAGACAGTTCAGGTTTGGAGTACTGCACATGTGAGTTCAAATCCCAACAATGACACCATGACTGTGTGAACCTGAACAAAATCTCTGGAGAAAAGTGGATCTTGACAGTACCCATTTCATAGACTTGTTATATGTATTAAATCCCTAATATATGTAAATGTGCAATTAAAAGTTAAGTGTTTCCATTGGCTAAATTTGTGGTACCTTTTTCTTCAAAATGTAAGAACAACAGGACAGTATAAAAACTGTTTTATTCTTGGACTAGGACTATAACTCAGTGGTAGATCACATGCTTAGCACATATAAGACCCTGGATTCAATTTCCAGCACCACAAAAAACTGTATTATTCCACTATAAAGATGGATTGCATGCTCACACATATATCTCCACAGGTCAGAGAGAAAAAAGTAAGGTGTGTATTTGTCCCAAAGTATGCACGGGATCTCTGCTCATTAGCTGTAAGAAAGAACCACATGTAATCACAAACACTATGGAAAAAATTGGAAAAAAGAGAATGATATTGACAGAGAAAGAGTGTATTAACCTACTACTATTCAGGATAGACTGCATCAGAAATGTAGGCGTGCTCTAATACAGTCACCTCAGTTCTCAAGCTTTAGTCTTTCCACAATTCTGGTCACAGAATGCATTCCATAATTCTGGTTGAAAGAATACTTCATGAACTGAGGAACCACTGTACTGCTATGTCTAAAAATTCTATCCCAGATGTATTCTAACTGGTTCCAAGAAAGCCCCATTCTGAATATGATTTCATACCAATAGCAACCTAAAGACTTCTTCCGCATCTTAGATAAGGATAAGGACATGTACTCTAGGTACTTAGCACTTTTTGACACAGAATAAGAAAAGATTTAAGTAAGAATTTTTTTTAAGTTTCTACTACAGAAAACAAACAATAATAAAAACAGATACTATTTACACATGACCGTGTCAGCCCTGTACTGAGTATGTTATTATATTGCTTCTTTTAATTCTCATTACCACTCATTTTACAGATGAAGATGCCAAGGCTTAGAGAGGCGAAGTAACCTGCTCAGGGGCACCACCACAAGGTCACCAATTTGCTGAAGAGCAACATCAGGGAATTCAAAATCATCTGTCAGGAAAGTGACCCATCTGTCACATCAGATCAGAGTTATAAGCTCACAAACCCAGGGGAGCTTAGTCTCTCTCTGGATGGTCAAGCCTTTAGTAACTTTCCTCGTACCATCTTCCTCTGCAGCTGTGATCACAACGATATTTTAACCTTATTGAATACTGGGGCTGTCTCCCCTCAACTATAAGCTCCAAATAGTACAGCTCCTCAGTGTTCTCGCTTATTTAGGAACGCTGCCTCTGTCCTCCTAGTAGGCATATAGTAGACAGCAGCAGTCCCATTCACATTTACACTGAATGAATGAATGGAGAAAAACAATGCTCAGCCATGGTACTGTGCTAACGAAACACCAGTCTCTATGTATGAGACAACAACAATGCCAGCATGAGATGAGAGGGGCAAGAGGTTACTGAGGCAAAGCTTAGGACTGGAAGAGGATCTAAAGTACAAACCTCACAGTGGTGAGACACAGCAACACCTTTGGGTTTGAAGGAGGGCGGGGATAGTATGGACCCAGTCACCATCTCTGAAGTCATGCCACTTGGGCTGAGTGTTGCTGAGTGGCCCCGGGCTATTTAACCTCTGTGTGCCTAGAGCCCTCATCTATAAAATGGTGACTGACAGAACCTACAACTATATAGCTACCAAAGAGCAAACACATTGCTACATGAAAAATACCTTAAAGCCTGGCTCTCAGTAAGCACATAATAATTACTGCTGCTAATAGCTATTAGGTTTAAAAAAAAAAACAACCTAGTTTATCATTTGTGTTCCTCCCTTCAGTAAGCCCAGTGAACATGGGTTTCAAAGGCTGTAAGAGTTAAGGAGTGAGGGCTTTCTTTCCCTCTGATCACTTAATACAAGACAAACCATTACAGTTAAAGGATAATATAATTACAACAATGATTCACTGTTCCCAGCAATAACCCTGGATTCTCGACAATCATAGGTTTTACTTTCAGGTCTGAAATCACGTGATTCTAAGCCAATTTTACTTCGTAATCCAGACAAAGAATCCAAAATTAGTATCTGCTGCAAAGAAATGGGATTCCATTTTTTTTAACTCTGGGTATAATATTAAATGCCTAGGTTGTAAAAGACATAGCATAAATATAACTTGATACAAGCATCAAAATCTCAAATCTGGCAGCTTCAGTTTTATTTGTGTAAAAGAATATCTTTTTACAATTGTTTTCCTAACAGCAATACATAAACTCATCTGCTCTTGTATCATATTAGCTATCTTGCAATTAAAAATACTATCAAGTATTTAGTAATTTTAAAAAGCTATAAAGACATCATTGGAATAGTGGTGCTATTTTAATGTGGACCTATTTATTAGATAACATACTATATAAAATTAAATTTCACCAATATGGTAAGAGCATTTTAGTTATCTTGAAGAATGCTTTTGTTCCTAGGTTTGACTCCTGTACACATTCTCATGATCACTTTCTGTGCACTTAAACACACAAATTATTTACTCATCTTCAACCCAAATTAACGCAACTTTGAGTTCTAATCCATTCCACTAGGTTTTTTATTATTTTTCCCGCTATTTTAACCTGCTATTTCCTTCCTCTGATATCCTCTTAAAATGTTTTAAACAGAAGAGAATGCAGTTGGCAGGCTATATTTTTGACCCTCAATTACGAAAGTGAAAGGAACTGAAACTGAAAATAAAGGAAATCACAGCTCAAAAATAGTTACTAAATCTCAGCGATTTTTTGCATCATGTCTATGTCAACAAGGAAAAGCCCAAGGGTTTCGCAGCAATACATTTTAAACAACCTGTACAGGACCATCGCATAGTATACTCAATCATAACACAAATATTGAACCAGTCAAAGCACTAAGTCCTTTATGACAATGGACTAGCTTCTGAAAAGACATCCACATAAATAAACTTCAGTCTAACAAAACAAAAAAGGAGTAACTTCTTTAAATAGAAAATTATATTTGTTACCTGTCAGAAGTTTGAGTTCTCCAGGGCTCAATATTTGCTATCAGGTTGATGTCAGGCTCAATTTCATAATATGTTTTGTTTTGTTTTGTTTTTTTAATGCCACAAGTGAACAGCAAGTTTTAAGAGGAGGGAGAAAGTGGTGACGAGCAGGAGGCGGGGTTTTATTACATAAATATTTAGGCAAAAAATAAATGTGGCCACCCTGGTTTCTCAGAGCCCCAAATTCATGTAACATCCAAATAACTTAACCCTTATAATATGTAGTTCTCGACAGGCACTTACTTCTTCTGAATATTCTTTTCAGAGCACGCCAGATAGACTGGCATTTCCCCGCCCCCATGCTAGCAAAAGATCAGAACAGCCCAGGCAAACAAACACTTAAAGCATGTTTCAGGAGAGGAGAGGAATGGTATTCAGGAGAAGACAAGCTCAGTTTATGGTTCTAAAAGACTCAAGCACAACATTGTATCTACAGCTAAAGTACACTGAAGCTGGGCATCAGGGGGCTGAGGCAGGACTTTCATGAGTTTGAGGCCAGCCTGAACTACACAGTGAGTTCAAGGCTAACCTGAACCAGAAAGCGAGACCCTGTCTTAAAATTTAAAAAAAAACAAACAAAAAACAACTGAAAAGTGTTTCACCAGCATAGATCTCAAGCTAAGTGTTCTTAACACAATCAAAAATTTAAGAAAAGAAAATAATCAGGTATCACCTACAGAGTGGTTTTCTTATTGACTCTCAGGGCAGACTGAGAGCAAGAAATGCTAGTATCTCTAAAGTGGTAGGAATGTGAATGCTTCCTCTAAACACATACACACACACCTATCCCTTCCCCCATTCTTGCCACATGCTTTCTTCATCTTAATTCCTCTGCGAGCTTCACCTGTTTTTTAACATCAACACTCCATCCTTTCCTGGGAGACTCAGCACAATGCATAAGAGAAGAAAATGGGGTAGGGACCTGTTCCTTGAGATCAGTCTCCTCCAAACCCTGAAGATTCTCTACATTCCCAAGAACAAGCTCTACATGCCTACATACCACAGATGCCAAATAGCCCACAGACAACCCAGAAAGGTCCCAGCTCATCTAAGGGCCCAGCCATCAGTGATCTGCCAAAGCCACACAGGAAGATTTTGGCTCCTCTTTCAGAAGAAGCAGGCAACAAAAGTGCCCAACTGTGAGAGGCAGCTCCAGCCCACTGACTGCTCTCTTCTCTGAACAAACTGGGCCCTGGTAACTTAGTGCCCACAGGGTATGAAGCAGTGACCCCTGTGTATCAGCACACCTGTGGTACGGAGGCAGGAGCAGCGGTGAATCCCTAGTTCAGAGGTCAGGCCACTCAGTGTTGGGGGACACAAAAGATGGGATGAGTGGGAAGAAGATGCTGGAGTCACAGCTCAGAAGATAACCCACCGCCCCACTTAAAGCAGGCTGGCGACGGCCGTGCTATGCCGTCTGTCATCCGCTCCCTGCCTGTGTGCCGGAGCACTAAGTGCTACAGTCCAGCCTGCACCTGGATCCACGTGCTGACAGGCCTTGTTTTCTGCTTCCTTGAGTGCTCCCACCACGCAAGGGAGACCCTCCTGCCCTTCTCCTGGACAGTGGGCCCAGGGACCTGCTGCCTCTTTCTGCCAATCCCTGCCCTTCCCTCTGGTGAAGGAAAACACCAACGGCAAACAACCAAGGCCCTTAGAGTGCCAAGCACTGCACACATGAACTCATTTGCTCCCCACCAAAGCCCTTTATTAAACTAATTAACTACAAAGCCCCACTTTAGCTATTAGAAAACTGAAGTGCAGAGAGATTAAGTGACTTTCTTGAGGACCAACTAGTGAAAGGCAGTCAAGTTTCAAACCCACCAAGAGCAGCAGAGTCCCCGCTCCGAGCACACAAGCTGCACTGCCCCTCACCCACAACTCATCAGACATCTTGCTACCCCAGCCTCCCCAGAGCCTCTCGGGGCCAGCTCCGCTCAGCTCCAGCCACATTCCCATTTACTCAGTCTAAGGATCCGCTAGGTTCTCCTCCTCTCTCCTGCCTAGATTGAGTACCCAGAACAAAGCCTCAGGCTTTTGTAATAGCACCTCTGTATTACTTTCCTAACACTACTATAATAAACTGTCACCAACTTAGTGGCTTATAGCAACGCAAATCTGTCTCCCCATTTTGTAAGTGCACAGGTCAACATAGGTCTTTCCAGGCAAAATCAAGGTGGCAGCAAGGCTGCATTCTGTCAGGAGGCTCCGGGGTAGAATTTGCTTCCTTGCCTACTTTAGCTCCTAGCAGTGCCTCTTTTCCTTGGCTCCTGGCTCCTTCTTCCACCTCAAAGCCAGCAACAGACTGTCTCTAAGATTCTTCTGTTATCACATCTCCCTCTGACCACCACCAGGAAAGTTTCTCTGCTTTGGAGACTCATAGGATTAGACAGAGCCTACCCCCAGGATTACCCTGGCCAAGCTCCTAATCTCAGGGCCCTAAATCTAACCTTATCTTGCAAAGTCCTTTTTGCCAGGTAGAGAAATCTATTCACAAGTTTCAGCCATTAAAACTTGAACATCTTAGGGAGTCAACATTCTACCTATTACAAGCTTTGTGTATAAACTTCGAACAGCGGGGCATGATGGCACATGCCTATAATCCCAGCACTTGGGAGGCTGAGGCAGGAAAACTGACATGCATTTGAGGTCATCTGAACTGTCTAGTGAGAAATTAAAAAAAAAACAAAAAGCTAATCTTGAACAGAGTGGTCTCCTAACAAGTAAGGAACAGATGGATTCCCATCACACTTCTCCCCTGGATGCTTGATTATGTGACCTTCCATTGATCTCTCATCTTGTGCATTACTCCTGTGTCCCCAGATTGCCCAAGAGCTCTTTAAAGTTTCCCCTTTTAACTTCCCCAGTAGTGACAGTAACACTACTGGTGAACACCTCATAGTAGACACATGAGCATGTGTGAGAGTCTGGGAACAAATCATGAGTTCAATCCCCCCTTAGACTGTTGCTTTATTTTCTATTTTGGGAGGGGGAGGTTATAAATCTATCACTTTTTTCAAAATGAAAAAAAAATACAAAAGAATATAAAAACTCTCCCTCTGTACCCTACCCCCTGGTCATTCTTATACTTCCAGAAATACCTTATGTATGTACAAGCATATAAATATATTTATTATTCGCCCCTTCTTTTCTGTAAATGGTAGCATAGTGTATTTCCTTCCAATTCCTCTCTCTCTCTCTCTCTCTCTCTCTCTATTACTTAATAACGTAGACCACTCCCCATCTAACACAGAGCACACAACTTCCTTCTTTGTGGCTGTGAACCATTCCACTGTGCAGCAGCACAATTCAATTTGACAGACACTCAGATGTTCTTGTGCTATTATCAGTAGCATTCAGTAAAGCCCCCCACACTGCAAAAGCCCCACTTCAGGAGTGTATCCACGTCCTCTATCCAGTGTGTGACACTGGGGAGAAAGTTAAAGCCACCATTCTAAAGGACAAGGCCTGCCTCTGTCCAATCCTTATGAGCCGCGGCCAACCTTCCCTTTGTCATAATTCCTGATGCCCATTCATACTGGCACCTCAGTCCCTAACTCTGCTACCCGAGGCCATTTGTGCCTCCTGCTCCCTTGGCATTTCTCCCTCTCCTCCCCCACCACCCAATTTCAAGGCAGCTCCTTCCCATCCCTCAGGCCTCCCCTGCACCACCTCCTGAGAGAACCCCCACTACCCACTAATGCCAACACCCCAGGAATGCTCCATCCTTTCATTTTTGTCTCAGACCTTATCACAGTTGGTGTTATATTACCTATTAATCTATTTTCTTATTTATTATCTGCCATCTCCAAAGTCCCCTGAGGGCAGAGACTTGGTCCAAATTATTCATACTATATAATTTTAGCACAGAGTCTGGCATACAGTCATGCCAAAGAGGGGGGTAAATTAAATTTGATTAATTTTCTTCATTTCTACAACATCATCATCACCATCATCAAGTTTATAAGCAGCCCAGCTACCTGGGATGGGAGAGGGACATCAGCACAAGACGCCGAGCTCCTCCTGCCTGCCACTCTTGGCTAATCCTTCCTCTTGTGTGAAAAGAATACTCTTGGCCAACAATACCCTAGCAGGGAACACCTTAAAGACCCCCTCTATTGGTTTTCCTCTATTGGTGCCTATCTTTCCTCTTGACCTAACTCCACTGGACTGTGTAGGACAAGTTGGGAAATAATGTTAAAATTTTGCCATTAAAAATAAAAGGTAATGGGGGTTTGGGGTTGTAACTCAGTGGTAGGGTACATACTTAGTATGTGCGTGTCCCTGGGTTCAATCTTTAGCACAACAAAAATAAATAACCCAAAACAGCAATCAAATAAAAATAAGTGATTGCTTACCACATGCCAAATAGCACATGAAGCTAGCAACATGAATTATTCCATGTAATCCTCATGCAGGCCGGGTACCACTGTTACTTCAAGTTTATGGCTGGCTAAGAAAATGATACCTAAGTCTTACGGCTGGTAAGTAGAGAGGCCATGATTTGAGTCCACGTAAACACTCAGAAGAGCCTTCATTTTCACGATGTGGGACCCCCCTACTACTAAAAGGATACTCACACTTTCTCCTTGGAAATAAATGCTTAAAAGATAATCACTAGTGGAAGACAGCAACCAAAATACTGAGTCATTAATAAGTTCAAATGCTTTAGGGCTACAGAGTTCTGACTGTATATAAATCTGGGAAAGCCAATAGCAACACATCTGAAAATTACACCGTCATCTTCAGAAAGGAAGTAACACATGACAGACCTGTTTAAGGTAATCAGCCAACTAACAGGCTAACTGGAGGGCAATGACAAGTATTGTGTGTCAGAGAGTTCCTGGTTTGGTCCTGGTTAGGGATTTTAGAAATATATATATGTGTATATGTGTGTGTAAATGACACTCCTCTGAGTTTTAAGACCTAACTATGCCATGACACAGTTAAGAACGAGGTCACTTGTAATGGAAAATCACTGAATGTACCAAAAGAAACAGCACTGACAACAGGGCTACCGAAAGTAGGAGAATAGAGGTGGAGGCTTCAAAGAGAAGGCAGAACCTAACAAGG